CACACACACACACACACACACACACACTCACACACACACACACACACACACACACACAAATGTGGATGCACTCGCACACATGCACGCTCACCCACGCAAACGCACCTGAACATCAGCTGTGTCTCCTTCTTATTGCTTATCTTGTTCCTTTTTATAGCGTCAACACCGAATATAGAATAAAGGCTCCTTTCAGCACACGCCTTTGTTAGTGCCAGTCACAAATTCGTTTCCCGCGAAGGCCGCGGTTTGTTTATCTATCCGTCTTCCGGCCTGTTATAATATGCAAGTTTGCTTTATCCCCTGTCAATTCATATTTGAAGGTCTTCCTATCGGTATTTCATCTGGCTGGAAAGAGCAGCCAGTCTCGTAACTGATTCTTTATCGGCCTAGTATCAGCTTGCAGTTTCCTAAGGAGCTAGTTACTCCAGTGTTGGGAAATGGCAGAGTTTAAAACCAACTTTCTCGAATGATAAAATTGTCCCGGTTAATTCAGCCCCACCGCACGCAGCCTTCGCAATCCTTGTCTTGGAGCTGTTCGCTGTACTGTGAAAAATAAACAAATGATACGATCAAAGAGGTTTTTTTTTCTTTTTTAGGACCATTAACTTGTGCAGTATCCTTTAAGCACCAACCTATTTGGGTTTGGCAAGAGAAATCTGAACTGAGGTGCCGCCAGATTCTCGTTGAATTTAGCGTCTCTCGCAAACCACTTTTCTATTGTGTCCTCCTCTGCGGTGGTTTCCTTTCGTGTTTCCCATCCATATCTCCCCGCCTTTCTGCTTTCTTATCCATGTTTCCTGTCTGAAGTGGCGGTTTTGAATAACGTAGAAATGACATTGATTTTTGCCCTTTACTCAGTGTTTAAGAAAAGTGTTTGGTGTATTTTTAAATAATCCGCTGTCCTCATTCAAACCCCACCCTCGACAATTAATTCGTTGACGGTTAAACACATTTGGAAAAAAATTATCTAAAAGAAGAAAACAGGACGTGTACCTTTTTGTACCTTTGCTTCTCTTGTGTCCCCACTTGTCGTCCAAAGCTTCGACTTGCTGTTTGGTCTATCCCTTACATTTTTTCACAAGAGCACCTGTCACTGTATATCTTGACTCTGATACTAGTGATAAATACATTTCTCTGAAAGATGACAAAGGCCTTCTCGGTTTTTCTGGGTATCTTTCTTTCTTTTGATAAAAACAGAAAACAACTAAACAAGGAAAAGAGCCCAAAGGTCAACACTACCACCACCACCACCACCAACAACAACAACAACAACAAGAAAATAGCAGCAACAAAATTAGCTGCAGCAACAAACAGGAACCAAAACTCAAACATGTTTTTTAAAAAGGTTGGACTGGCTATCACAAAAACTGCCAGTTTCTAAATCAGGTTGAAAAACAGGGAAAAACGCCTTGGAAAAAAGAGTTATCCTGCGCTCGAAAAAAAAAGCAAGTTGTCTGTCAGCGCCGCCACGCAGTCTGGCTCCGGGGACGTAATCTGTCAGGTTGTAGCCCTCCCACGGACGATGAAAGAAATCGGTTGCGTTCATATTGCAGTTATCGAACTTTGAGAGATCATGTTTATTGCTTGTAAATAAATCTAATCCGTGTGCGGGTTTTGGTTGCAGATGTTCTTCTTCGAAGACTCTTAAGGAAGCTACTGTTTAAAGAATCCTCTTCTTTTTATGATGGCGGGGTGCTGGAATTTTGGTCTGTGGTTTGTGGACTCTGGTAGTAGTTGTTGTTTCTGTGTTATGACTGCTAGCTTAGTCGGTGAGCTTGAAAGCTGATGTAACAACCGACATAGACAGACAGACAGACAGACAGACAGACAGACAGACAGACAGACAGACAGACGGACGGACGGACGGACGGAGGAACAGGCCGGCATGCAGGCTGGCAAACAAGGGCTAGGTGATTAGTTAGGTAGGGATAAGTGTATATGTTGGTAGATTGGCAACGGTAAGGAGGTGTGTGGAACGGCATACGTCAGCATTGATGTGATGGTGCAAGAGTAGTGATTAACGTTTGCTAGTTTTCATCCTGTTTCCAGTAAAATCATTTTTAACTGGAAAGGGGGAAAAAAGTAGATTTTTGCTGACACTGGAACCCCAAACCCATCATGAAATTGAGTGGTGAGCGTGAATGCGCGCACAAACACACAAATACACACACAAATACACACACCAACACAAATACACACACTCACATACACACGCACGCACCTCTCTTTCGTTCTCTTTCTGTCTCTCTGTCTCTGTCTCTCTGTCTCTCTTTCTTTCTGTCTCTTTCTGTCTCTCTGTCTCTCTCTCTGTCTCTCTGTCTGTCTGTCTCTTTATCTCTCTCTCTCTCTCTCTATCTCTCTCTCTTTCTCCCTCTCTTTCTCCCTCTCCCTCTCTCTCTGGGTCTCTCTCTCTTCCCCTATTATTCGCTCCGGGGGAAGCGGCAGCGTACTTCCTCATCGAGTGCACACTGTCAGTATTTATCCATTTTTTCTTCGCTCACAACACCAACACCGTCTTCTGCTGACTCGCCTAATTCTAGCATAGAATGACCATTTTTTGGTGCTGATGTGCCCCTCTTCAACATCAAAATGAAACTCACGCACAAGATTAAGCGAAGTGTTGATAGTGGAGAAAGTTCAGGTTCACGAGGGCAGGGTGGAACTTCCGAGTTCTGATTTCGACGGTCTACTCGTTATCCGAGTGTCGAGACACCGTGGTTTCCACGTAGCATCATTGGGGTGGAGCATCAATGAGATTACTTTACGAGCTATCCCCCCTTCGCTATTTGGTTATCATGAGACGATTTAATCCTCGCAACTTTGGGTGGAGCCTTGCATAGTTAACGTGCAATACATATTTTCTCTTGCTCATTAGATTGTAGAAGTTATATTTCTCGTTGACTCGTCCGTTCTTCCTTTCTTTCTTCCTTCATTCATTCATTTTTTTCTTAATTTTTTTTTCATGCTTCCTTCCGTCCCTCCCTTGCTTGCACATTCATGGCTGAACCGTTCACTTCACATTCCCGACGGCTTTGGGTTACGTAGCGGGCAAAGTTAAAACTTTTTATGATATGTTTCGATCCTTGTTTTATTGTTTCCACTATGTCAAAGTGCTGACTGTCACCAATATCTTGAGACCGACTATTAACTGTTGATAGAAGAATGCACCGAGTCAACCAGTTCAATACATTGTTCAAGAATTTTGTTTTGTACAGTACTCTCAGCTGACGTGTTTAAGTATGAATGGAGATTTTCGAAGAGCAACCACCATGTGTCTTTGTGCATACATCGATGTTTGGAAGGATAAAGTATTGTTTTGTTTTCTTGTTTTTGTATTGTTTTGTTTTCTTGTTTTTGTATTGTTTTGTCTTTTTATTTTTGTATTTCGTCCACAGTGCAGGAAATTGATGTTACTTCTCATAAAGTTGAATTTTCCATGTTAATTTCATTTATATAGGTTTGTCTGTTATATCTGCCCTCTTGACCGCAACTT